TTTTCATAAGTTTGCAGGGGTGGTAGGCGTTCAGCAAATCGTGTGCCTAGAATGTCCCTTACATGCTCGATTGTGTTCATGCCCTGATAACAAACTGCCCATTCCATTTGTATGATTCCTTTCTCCAAGTGGAAATCATTTACTAAGTTAGCATGATTTGGCCTGAAATTGTCGTCCATTATTACGAAGTCATCTCCAATTGCTATAGCGTAAGTGACTACAATACGTCTCAGGATCTCATCTCTATATCGCCGACCAGTCAGAGTTCCATTTAGAATGATATGGAGATCCGCACGCCCATCAATGGAGATGGCAGCATAGACCATCACTCCCCCACCGCCAAATCATACATTTTCTTACACGAAATTGGATTGCTTATAGTGCCACTTTCCATCCAGATGAAAACACGCCTATTATCAGGATAAACAGAAAACGGGACTCGTCAGAGAAAACAATATTGCGCCATTCATTTCTTCTCCAATTCACATGCTCTGTTGCCCACTCAGTGCGGGCACGACGTTGGTTTGCTGCTAACGTGACATACACCATTTGTCGGCGAGCATACAGACTCACAACATGAAGGTGGTTTCGAACAGTTTCTGCGAATCTCTGGTGCCAGTAGCCGAGCGAAGGTGCTGTTGAAGAAGAGTGTCACTCATATTTCTGTGTCTCCGAGCCGTTAACGTTAAATAGTGGTCATAATTGGATGTTGTTGCATGTCTACGCCCTTGCCCTCATCTTCGGCCTGTATTTCCAGTTTTTAAAGAACGGTTTCTGATCCTGGAAATCACACTTTGCGAAACTCCAAGGGCTTCTGCTTGTGCTTGGTCCATCTCTAATCGGCCAACAGCTCTCCAAGCTTTCTAAACATTTTTCGACACTTTTTGAATTTTTACCAGTTGCACCTACCCTGTAATAAGTAGTGTTTTTTTTTTGGATAATTTCTTTCTTTCGAATAAGGTGTAAAAATGAGACTTATTTAAAGAGAGACTTTTGTATTATTTCCAAATAAGTAACAGACCTATATGAATTTACTGTTTCAGAATAAACCGTTTTAATACATTTGATGTTGCTTGAAAATCACCTTGTATAATATTAAACACTTATATATTTTTAGAAAAATATTTTCTAGGAGCCGTAGTGGACTGTTCAAAAGGACACGGCTCCCTGTCAAACACCGAAGCCAAGTATCACTGGCTACCATCAGCGAGCTGGTGGGTGACCATCTCGATCAGCCTGCGTAGAGACCAAGGGTACACGGCATCGGTACTCGTTAAACTGTTCAAACGTGAAGTGCTCGACTTAACGCCCAGGTCGTCGGACTACTAAAACGGGGGAGCCATCCCCTCGGCAGAGGATCAAACTTGTGATGGCATGTCTCTTCGGATCATTCTCTGGAATGTTTCCCGGACCGTCTCCATAGCCCATTGTGAAGCTCTAGTGTGACGTAAATATAATACGTACCTACCAAATAGAAAATAAAAAAAATAGAGTAATTTTATGCTAAACGAAACATTTTACATAAGAGTCAAAATTTCAATAGCGGTAACACTCAAAATTTGATATCATAATTTTTACACTTTTTGTTGTTTTTTAAAAAGTATATATTATACAAAACAATAGCCCAAAATTTTTGATTTAATTTATCTTACAAGACATTAACAATTAAATTTTAAAGCTCTTTTTAATTAAAAAATAAATATCTAAGGATAGAATGAATGGATTTTTAAGAAATGTATCTCATTTTATACAAAAATAATGGTTTTTGATAAAATAATTATAATAAAACAAATGTTTAAAAAATGTAATTTTTATTGCGAAATTAAGTTGTAAAATGAAAAACAAAAATTTTGTTAATGTCGTACAAAGTTCAAACAAAACCCATTCTAAAGTAAATTTTATTCTGAACAAAATGGCTTTTCAAAAAAAAATGGATCGCAATTCCATAAAAATTTATAGCTTTTTTCGCGAAACGCTGCACCACAGCGCGCTCTGTAGTCAGCGCTGATTACCTTATGCGCTGCGCGGTCATGTCTTGAAACATGATTTTCTAGTAAAATCGCAAAGTGCCTATTGAACTGAAAGAAAAAATAGCTTGAAAGATGGAGAGTTTCTGTTTACCATTGACTTTTCCAAAAATTATGCTTTCAAAATACAAGATTCTATTCAATATTTTTATTGGTATAATTAGCAAGCAACCTTACATCCGTATGCTGTTATTGTAAACAAAATGAAAAGCTTAGACATCATTGTTTTACCATAATTTTGGAAGAGGAAAAGCATGACACTACAAGTGTGCATTTATTTAATAGTTAGCTAATTCAATATTTACAAAATATCTACGGCAGTGATAATATTAAAACAATTATTTACTTTTCGGATGGAGCTTCGTCACAATATTAAAACAAGAATAGTTTCATGTACTTACTCGATCATAAAAATGATTTTAATATCGATGTATAATGGCATTTTTTTGCCACTTCTCATGGCAAAGGGGCATGCGATGGTATTGGTGGGACGGTAAAGAGGGAAGCAAGAAAGAGTAGTTTGCAAACACAAAATATAACAACACCTGAGGAATTGCTCGATTGGGCATGTAAATTTTTCAATTTGACTTCTGCGCAAAAACTGAATATGAGAATGAAAAAAAAAAAATTGGAAACAAGATTTAAGAAAGGTTCAACAATTAATGGAACTAGAGAATACCATACTTATTTAGTTGAAAATTTTGAAACTCTCAAGAGGTTTTTAAATTCTCTCTAAATTGACTGATACAGCGCAATTTAGCGATCAGTGGAGAGGGGGTGGCAGAGCACGGCGCGGTGCAGCGTTTAAAAAAGCTATAACTTTTTATAAGTAAAAAAGCTATAACTTTTTATGGAATTGCGATCCATTTTTTTTTAAAAAGCCATTTTGTTCAGAATAAAATTTACTTTAAAATGGGTTTTGTTTGAACTTTGTACGACATTAAAAACATTTTAGTTTTTCATTTTACAACTTAATTTTGCAATAAAAATTAAATTTTTTAAACATTTGTTNGGATCGCAATTCCATAAAAATTTATAGCTTTTTTCGCGAAACGCTGCACCACAGCGCGCTCTGTAGTCAGCGCTGATTACCTTATGCGCTGCGCGGTCATGTCTTGAAACATGATTTTCTAGTAAAATCGCAAAGTGCCTATTGAACTGAAAGAAAAAATAGCTTGAAAGATGGAGAGTTTCTGTTTACCCTTGACTTTTCCAAAAATTATGCTTTCAAAATACAAGATTCTATTCAATATTTTTATTGGTATAATTAGCAAGCAACCTTACATCCGTATGCTGTTTATTGTAAACAAAATGAAAAGCTTTGACATCATTGTTTTACCATAATTTCGGAAGAGGAAAAGCATGACACTACAAAGGTGCATTTATTTAATAGTAAGCTAATTCAATATTTTCAAAATATCTACGGTAGTGATAATATTAATTATTTACTTCTCGTATGGAGCTTCGTCACAGTATTAAAACAAGAATAGTTTCATGTACTTACTCGATCTTAAAAATGATTTTAATATCGATGCATAATGGCATTTTTTTGCCACTTCTCATGGCAAAGGGGCATGCGATGGTATTGGTGGGACGGTAAAGAGGGAAGCAAGAAAGAGTAGTTTGCAAACACAAAATATAACAGCACCTGAGGAATTGCTCGATTGGGCATGTAAATTTTTCGATTTGACTTCTGCGCAAAAACTGAATATGAGAATGAAAAAAAAAATTGGACGCAAGATTTAAGAAAGCTTCAACAATTAATGGAACTAGAGAATACCATACTTATTTAGCTGAAAATTTTGAAACTCTCAAATGTAAAATATATTCTTCTAGTCCCAAGTTTGAACTCAAAAAATTATACAAATAAATTATAAATAACTAATTATTCATAATATTATTCACCTAAAATTATAAATTACATATTTATAATTTAATATAATGTTTGTTATTTTGTGAAACTTTAGTTGAGGTTTTTAAATTCTCTCTAAATTGACTGATACAGCACAATTTAGCGATCAGCGGAGTGGAGTGGCATAGCGCACCGCGGTGCAGCGCTTCGGGAAAAAAGCTATAACTTTTCATGGAATTGCGATCCATTTTTTTTTTTTTGAAAAGCCATTTTGTTCAGAATAAAATTTACTTTAAAATGGGTTTTGTTTGAACTTTGTACGACATTAACAACATTTTTGTTTTTCATTTTACTACTTAATTTTGCAATAAAAAATAAATTTTTTAAACATTTGTTTTATTATAATTATTTTATCAAAAACTTCAATTACTTCAGCGTAAAATGAGATACATTTTTTTAAAATCCATTCATTCTATCCTTAGATATTTATTTTTCAATTAAAAAGAGCTTTAAAATTTAATTGTTAATATCTAGTAAAATAAATTAAATAAAAAAAATCGTTTTGGGCTAATGTTTTGTATAATATATACTTTTTAAAAAACAACAAAAAAAGTAAAAATTATGATATCAAATTTTGGGTGTTACCGCTATTAAAATTTTGACTCATAAACAAAAATTTTGCAAATAATTTATATTAAAAGTAGAAATGTAGTTAAAATCCAATAAATATAGAGTTTAATTACATTAATATTTATTTATTTTTAAACTTTTTGAATGCATTTCTATTAAAACGCATCACCACAGGGACGAGCTCAATATAAAGAATATGGCAAGACGGTATGGTAGAAGGAGTCGGATTTATGTCATTTCGAGACGTGATATTTATGGATGATCCCTGAATATATTTTGAAACAAAACAAAGGTGCTTTTCAACCAGTAAAAAAATTGAAAATAGGTAAAATAAACACTTCGTGACCGAAACAATAGCATTTGTTATAAACATTTAACTAATTCCTAGAAATCCCTAGACGTCAATTTTTCGTCCTTGTTTTACGCTTACAATTAGTTTAAATCAAACTACCTACTAGGTCGTACCTCCTGTCAATTACGAACACGTATTAGAAATCACCCTTTAATCTGCGCCATTTTTTCAGAAAATTATCACTATTTTCCTTCAGCTTGAAAGTGTGTGTTGAATTGGTTTCAATTGCCTTTGGATTGATATTCCATCTATCTCAGTTTTGCCATTTGTAAGTACTTTTTTTATATAAATTCATTATTTTATATATATCCATTTATATATATATTTATGAATTAGAAATATTAAGATTTTGTGATTACTAATAGCTGCGAAATTTTGCACTTATTAAAGTACGTTTCCCCTAATTATGAAGTACCATATGGTGGTTGTATTTTGTTGCTAGTCAATTACTATGCTAAAGACGATTTATTTTTATGGTAAAAATGGCAAGTCATGCAAAGATGTCTAACAAAATTTGCATTTTTTAAAGCATGTTTTCTTTAATTTTAAACTAAAATTAGGTGGTTGGTGTTTTATTGCTTGTCTATACATATATGACCAATTCTACAAATAAACGCTGCCAAAAAAGAATAAGTTTTTTTGTTGCGGGGGGGGAAGCTATTCCTACATGAAATTTTTGTTCTCTTTTACGCCCTAAAAAAGCAAGAAAAAATCGTGAACATGAAATTTTTTCTTTGTGACATACATTAAATGACAAACTGAGCCATTTATTCAGATAAAATGATTTTTACATAAATATAAAATTATTATAATGCCTCTCTAAAATGTATTTATAGAGATTTCATACTATAAGATTATATTTTAGTGTAAAAAACAAAAATAAAAAAATTTAATCAAAAATTCGCAAATTGAAAAAATTAGGAAAAATTCAAAATTGGTATTTTGTCACTTAAAGTATGTCAGAAAGAAAAAATTTTATGTTCACGATTTTTTCTTGCTTTTTAGGGTGTAAAAAGGAAGAAAATTCATGTAGAAATAGCGTGCCCCCCCCCCAAGAAAAATTTTTTTTTTGACCGCCAAATAGACGCTTATTTGTAGAATTGCTCATATAATAAAAATGATTTGCTTTTGTGGTCAAATATGGTAGATCATAACATAGCTGACAATATTTGCACTTTTTAAAGTACATTTTCCTTAATTATAAACTAATGTATGGTGGTTGGTTTCTTATTGCTTGTAAATTACTATATGTAAAACAATTTTTTTGTGGTCAAATATGGTAGATCATAATGTAGTTGACAACATTAGCACTTTTTAAAGTACATTTTCCTTACTTATAAACTAACATGCGGTGCTTAGTTTTTTATTTCTTGTAAATTACTATATCTAAAATTGTTAGTTTATGTGGTTAAATATGGCGGATTATGCAAACATAGCTGACAACATTTGCATTCCTTTTAAAATGCATTTTCTTTAATTATAAACTGACATATAGTGATTGGTTTGCTTAAAAACCACTGCGTTGATAACTATGAATAACAATTTTTTAAATTTCGTCAGCACCTATTAAATCACATTAAATTATTATCTCTCATTCGGTATATATGTTTAAACTAGTTAAACGAAATGATGGTTACTGTCATTTATATCAAATTTATGAAATCAAGAATAAAATTATAAGGCATACATTTTGCTTTTACTTTAAACATAAGAATAAAATATTCGAGTGTAAGTTGAAGAGTTAACAGCTGTGCGTGTAAAGTATCGGAAATATTGTTCATAATCGTAGAAATTTTCTCCAAAGTATACAAATAATCATAAAAGAGAAAATTTGTATGATCCTGTACTGTCCTCGGGGTTGGGTGTAGTTGCTGTTCTTATAAGTCTGTAAAATGCAAATGATCACGTGGTCTCTTGACGTTTGCTCAAATTTATGTCATATGGAGCTCAATCCTGGATTGAAGGATTTATGTCATATTCAAATCGAGTTTAATTTAAACTACTTCGAAGAGAAAATTTTGATTTTTTTAATTAAATAAATTAACATTTTTCTTATAATTTTAATTTATATTTTATCTTTTAATATTTAAAAAAAATGTAAATTTTTGAGGTGGCCAACTTAACATGTTACATTGTAATAAATCAAAGTCAATGTACTTTTTGTATAAGGTTTATTAATACACTAAAAGTAGATGTTTTTTAAATGAATTTTCTTTGTCTTTATAAAACTATTTAGACTTTAGCACAAGCATTATTTTGTAGGTTGATTTCTCATGGATCAATTACGAAGAAAATGTACTAAAAGATTGGCTCAAGCCGTTGCAGAACGCTTGTTGTTCATGGTATGTCTGATAAGTTTTGGCATTTATCTAGGAATGAGGGTCTTATCTCCTTACATTCAATTGATCATTCTTTTCACGTTAATTATAAGCGTCACTTGCTTATTAATGCAGACTAAGGATCGCATAAATAGAGCAGTCTTAGTGGATAGTTCAGATGAAGCCGCTAGTTTTGCGGGAGTTGCTTACCACGGACTCGATAGTGGACCACCACCACCAATCACCGATATAGACATCGAATCAAACTATTCTGAAGATGCTTCTACATTTTGCACCAATCAAGACGTTGAAGCAGGTTTGTCTTCTGGAAAATCACCAACTTCTGAATCTCGCGTACCAGGAAAACCACAAAAGATTTCGTTGAATATTGCATGTCCAGATGAAATGTTACCAAGACGCCAAGATGAAGAGAGTGATTTGTCGTCAGGTAGGTGCTCAATGGATACACAGAAATGTTTCGCATCTCGAGAAATGAGTCTTGAATTTAGTTCTGATGAAGCCAATTCAACTGAATGGCCAGTAGCGAAGTTCTACATGGGGGAAGAAGATGAATCCAGCACCGGTGATTTTGATTTTAACACAGGTGGTATTTATTATGGTACACCTTATTTGTAAAAGCAAACTTGTTATTTCATTGGAATAACAAAAAAGTATGGGGGTGGTGGGAAAATGAAACAAAATATTTGTTGTAACAAGCTTTTTTCTAGTTTGTAACTGAAAAACAAATAAATAACAATGGAACTTTGAACAAATTTATAGTATTGTTTTATTCCTTACGTAAGTTACACGAATTTTGCATTGAAAACATTTTTATTTTATTTTAAGATTGAAGTTAATTAAGCAAAAAAATTTATTACAACTAAAAAAAAAGTAAATAAAGGAAAACAATTTCTCTGTGATCAACCGCACAATATAAATTATTATAAGGTGATACAAATGAATCCAATACTGCCTATTTAAATTTTAACAAAGGTGGCACTTTTTTAAAGGTGGTACATCTTATTCATTAAAACCCAACTTGCTATAACTTTTGAAATATAAAAAAGTATTGCGTAGGGGGGCGAAAATGAACAAAAATATTTGTTGCAATAGGTTTTTTGCCTTATTTGCAACTAGAAAAAAAAAGAACAATGGAACTTAGAGCAAATTAATAGCATTATTTTGTTCTTTATATAAGTTGCAAGAACTTTGCATTGAAGACAATTTTATTTTATTTTAAGATTGAATTCAATTAAGCAAAGTAATTTATTACAATAAAAAAAAATTTATCTGTGATCAACCACCCAAATATTTTGAGAGTAACATTTTAGGTTATGCATGGGGAATTTATTCTTTACATGGTAAAAAAAATAAGATTTTGTGTTGAATTATGATACCATATAAATTTTTAGCAACTTTAATAAGGTGCTAAATTGAGCCACATTACCTTATGAATTGAAGCTTGGTTACACGGGCCGGGATAGCCTAGTTGGTAGTGTGTTGGCTTCTATTAAACGGTGACTGATGCACCTGAAAATTGTCGAGTTGCAAAGTTCTCATAACCAATCTATACCTCTTTGGGTACTGATCTAGGAGTTTTCCTTTATCATCTGGATTGGGTTCGAAATTACAAGGCTTCAGAGCTGAACATTGGTAGCCGTAAACTCAAAAAATTGGGACTGCTGCTCAACGACGGTTATAATATTAAATAAAAAAAATTGGTTGCACGGTACTATGGTTTAACTTTAATAGAAACGTGGTAACACCCTAATAATGAAGTTGTATGATATAAGGATTCCAGTTACCAAGATTATGGTTTTACACTTACTCGATTTTTTTCGATGGTGTTCTAAATAATATGCATTCTGTACATGTGTACAAATGTATTTTGAAGTGCTTTTACAGGTAAACGAATTCTCTGATGCAGTAAGTACAACTGAATATTGATATAGATTCAAGAGGGAAACACCAATGTGTTAGTCAACTAAAAGATATTTCTCTTAAGTTTTGAAAAATTCCATAAATTGAGCCACTTGACCATATGAATTAATTCTTATTAAACTTGGTTATACGGTACTATGGTTGAACTTGAATAAAAACGTGGTTACACTCTAATAAGGTTGCGGTGAATTTTTGTGACATCACGATTCAAGTTACCAAGATTATGGTTTAATATTAACCCATTTTTTTATAGTGTACTAAATAATATGTGTTCTGTACATGTGTACAAATATATTTTGAAGTGATTTTACAGGTAAACGAGTTTTCAGATGTAGTAAGTTGATATGGATGGCAAAATTGATATCGATATTGATATAGATACTGCTGAATATTGATATAGATTTAAGAGGGCAACACCAATGTGTTTGATAAAACTGAAAGATAGTTTTCTTCAGTTTTGAAAACATTCTATTAATCTAAACACGTGGATGTTCAATGTAGACATTTTATAGATGCATAAGCTAACGGTGAGATTTATTATCATTGATACTTTTAGTGTTGAGAAGAAGTACACCAGAAATATAAAGTTTTATTGCAAAAATAACAAAATATACACTATGAAAAATTCTGGAGCATGGTGAACCATGACACTGTTTAAACTGAACCTCTTAATCTTAGATCTTCAACTTTATCCGATACGATATTTAAACTTAACATTACTGGAATAGGACTGTAGAAACGGGACTTTTTTTGGATGCACCAGCTAACAGAAGAATCAATAATCATTACTTATTAATTTTAGAGTTAATAAGGAAAAATATTCCAGCGTTTTAAAGCTTTGTTACAGGATTAATAAAATATACTCTATTAGAAATTTTGGCACCAACCCTAATATCGTTTAAATTTTCTGCATATTTAGAATGGTGCAAAGTTGAAAAATACTATCAACTTTCTCAACTTTATTATCTGATACTATGGTTCTACTCAAAATTACTAGCATAGGACTCTGGATGAATGGGACTTTGGATGAAAGGATGAAAGACTGGAATTTTTTCTAGATGCGCTAAGTTGAGTTATATTGTCAGACTTCTTAAACTTCATGATAAAATATTTTGGTTTAATTTAAAACTGCTAGAATCGGATAGATATTGGTTCAATTTAAAACTGCTGGAACCGGATAGATATTGGTTCAATTTAAAACAGTTGAAATCGGATAGATATTGGTTCAATTTAAAACTGCAGGAATCGGATAGATATTGGTTCAATTTAAAACTGCTGGAATCGGATAGATGGGATTTGTATAGGGTGGATAAACAGTATTTTTTCTGGATGCACCAGCAAACGACGAGATTAATAATATTTAATATTCAAAGATCAGCGTAAAATTAATTTTTGTGTAAGTGCAGAAGTAATAGCAATTATACAGTGTAAGTTGTGCATCTTAAAGCACTGCACTTGCAAAAATTTATTTCAACTCCATTAAAATTGTTTACAAAAAAACTTAAGAAAACAACGTTTTTATCTACAGTTATGTATCATTTTGTTTTTGGGTGGATTCATCAAATGAAAAGCTTCTCATAATGGATTAAACATTGTCATGCTTGATTGAAAACAAAGAATAAAATTGTTTGAAACCGTAGAAACAAAATTGTTCTGATGAAATTTGATTTCATTTGAGAATACGAATTAAGTGAAGTGTGAAGATGAGTTTCTAAACATATATTTTTATACTGAGAAATTCGAGTAGAATTGCTTGAATTGCTTTCAAAAAGTAGTTTGTATTAATGAGGTTATTGTAAAGTTTATAGGCATTAATTTCATATAAATTTTAGGAATTCAAGTAATCAGTTGTAAAACAGATATTTAATTTATGAATTAGTAATGGATTGTAATTATTTAAAGCTTTTTATTTCCTCAATAATTTTCTACCAGTTTTTAAAATTTCACTGAAATGTGGCTACCATGTCTTACTATAAAGTCAACCGGACCGTGTAGCGGTCAGGGAACAGGACGGAAAAGTTCTGGGTTCGAATCCCGGACAAGGCATGGATGACTCCGAACACATCATCAGTCTAGGTGGTGTTTGTCCTCTGTATATAGTTGTAAATACTTGTATATAATTTTTCACTCGTTATTCACCTATATATTTTGGTGCATTTATTATCATGCATTTTCCCTATTTTTCTGAGGCTATGTGGCTACTGTGCACCTGGGAGGCGAGGGAGTCTGCCACAAAAATCTTTTCTCTCTCTTAAATTTGTTTGTTTAATCTCGCTACTTTATTTTAATTTTCTCTCAGTAAATGTTGCTGAACCCCAACTTTCACCATTCAATTGCGCATCGGCGATTTATTATACATTTCCACTCAGATGAATTAGAGCCCCTCTCGGGGTTGATGCTAAGATAACTACCACATTTGAGTATGAGTCGTGTTAGTCCGCATAAGCTTTTTCAAAATACGCAGATATGCCAACTGCTCCAAAATAATTAACGCCAAAGACACGCCAAAATAATTAAAAAAATGGCAAATACCTACAGAGTAATTTTTCAAATATTTGACTATTTTTGCTTGCTTTTTGAAAGTTATACCACGATATGTTTCAATAAAGTGGTGAATTATATAAGCCTACGAATTGTATAGAAATAGTGGTAGATAAAAATCTACAAAATTGAATTTATTAAACTAAGAGTCACAATTTATAAACTACCACTATGAAATATATATTTGCTGTCCGGAGCAAGTTGGCATCTCTGAATACAGCGTATGTTAGTGTCTAAAATTGTAATTTAAATTCCATTTTACTACCACCGGGGAAAATCATCCATGAAAGCATACCTGCCAACTCTTCCGGATTTTCCGGAAGATTTTATTTTTATATTTAAAGTGGTAGTAATTATATACTATTTTTTTCTTTTATAATCTTGATTTTTAAATGATATTGATCACCACTATTCTTACAAAAATTAAGCACAGATATTAATATGCGTTACTATCATGGTTGTCAACTTAAGTTTTCTCAAATACAGCGTATTTGTTTGCTTAAAATTAAAGTTTTAATTCCATTTTAATACCACTGAGAAAAATGATAATTGAAGAGATTAAAGGTTGGCAGGTATGCAGAGATGCCAAATGCTCCGGACACTCCAAAATAATTAAAAAAAACGTTAAATAACTACAAAGTAAATTTTGCAAATATTTGACTATTTTTGCTTGCTTTTAAAAAGGAATGGCATCACATAAGTACATACCTGCCAACTTTTAATCCTTTCGAGGATGATTTTCCTCAGTGGTAGTACGATGGAATTTAAATTACAATTTTAGGCATAAGCATACACTGTATTTTGATAAAATTTACGAAGGACTCTACCGCAGTATTACACATTTATATATATGCTTAATATTTTTAAAATTAGTGGTAGTGAAAAAGACTGTAAATTAAGTCTATAAATGCAAGAAATATATAAAAAGCATACATTTTACTACCACTTTAAAGATAGAAATAAAATTTTACGCCAAATGCGTAAAAGTTGGCTGGTATGTAAGTACTATAAAGTGGTGAATTATATAAACCAATGAATTATTTAGAGATAGTGGTGGATAAAAGTCTACTAAATTGAATTTATTAAACCAAGAATCCCAATTGATAAACTACCACTTTAAAATATATATTTGCTGTCCGGAGCAAGTTGGCATCTCTGGGTATGCAATTATTTAAGTAAAAAAAACCCACTTTTT